GGGTCTTCTACAGCTACGTTTCGTTGAGTTCGGCAGTAATAGTATTTCCATTCTTCCTGTTATTGTCCGCAAAGGGGGTTGGAGTGGTGAGGAAGAGGGAGACGACGAATGCGAGCCCGAAGCTTTGCCGAGTTTTGCCGAAGCGCACGCTGCATTGGCGAAAGTGAAGTCGTTCTTTTATGCGCATAGTATTAGTGAACGTGACGAGGAAAACCTTTTGAACGTGGAAAGTGCTCTGTTTGGTCTAAAACGTAAAGTTTCGACAAACCAGTTGTCCATTAAAGACTTTTTTGGTAAAAAGAAGTAACTTTGAAAGAGAAACATTGTTTTTTTTAAATTTTTAATGCTTTCCCGCATCTATCGTTTTCCCGCATTCATCGTTTTTATTTCCCACCCCCGCCGAAAACGAAGCATCGAGGTTTCACTGTATATATTACATGATGACTGATGATGTGATTACTCTACTTTATGAATCCACACATCACAAATGTGGATCCTCTCCATGAAATATGCTTTGATGTGCGTTCAGATGACCTCTCTGAATGAATGATTTACTACACACAAGATGAATATGGACATTCACCATTATGCACATGCTGGTGCACCTTAAGATGACTACTCAGAAAGAATAATTTATTACACACATCACAGCAGTATCAGTGGTCACCATTATGTATGCCTTGATGCATCTTGAGGTCCGCCTTTCTAATGAATGATTTATTACACACACTGCAGTCATATGGACGCTCACCACTATGTATGCCTTGATGCACCTTGAGGTCTGCCTTTCTAATGAATGATTTCTTACACACATTGCAGTCATATGGACGCTCACCACTATGTATGCCTTGATGCATCTTGAGGTGCTCCTTTCTAGTGAATGATTTATTACACACACTGCAGTCATATGGACGCTCACCACTATGTGTGACTTGATGCACCTTGAGGCTGTCCTTTCTACTGAATGATTTATTACACACTTCGCAGTCATATGGTCGCACACCTCTATGTATGAGTTGATGCATCTTGAGGCTGTCCTTTCTAATGAATGATTTATTACACACATTGCAGTCATATGTACACTCACCTCTATGTAAGAGTTGATGTTTCTTGAGGTCCCCCTTTCTACTGAATGATTTATTACACACTTCGCAGTCATATGGTCGCACACCTCTATGTATGAGTTGATGCATCTTGAGGCTGTCCTTTCTAATGAATGATTTATTACACACATTACATTCATATAGACACTCACCACTATGTAAGAGTTGGTGTTTCTTGAGGTCCCCCTTTCTACTGAATGATTTATTACACACATCGCATTCATATGGACGCTCACCACTATGTATGAGTTTATGTTTCTTGAGGTACCCCTTTCTACTGAATGATTTATTACACACATCGCATTCATATGGACGCTCACCACTATGTATGAGTT